CTCTTTGCTGAGCTGTTCCGCGACGAAAACAATGTTGAGCAATGGCAATGTCGAATGGTGACACTCGGTAAGTAATCCTACAATTTTTTGTTTATAGCGTAGTTTATACGGATTATTCCCAAAAAATATATACGTATTTTGGAAATGTTGAGTCGGATTAGTCTAGAATCGATTAATTTTATGGAAGAAAATCTTTCAAACAGCCGTAGTCCGTAAACTTGACACGTGTCGGGTTGTGATTGGAAAGATTCGTAAGAAAGCGGATTCCTAGAGAATGGAACGTATCTCTATCTTATAGGGGGGTCGACTGTACAGTACCTAATTTATATATAATTAATATATAATTATATGTACAGTACCTAATTTATATATAATTATATGTACAGTACCTAATTTATATATAATACTGTGCAGACAATAGCAAACTCAATTTAGCCGCCTAAACAATCCGTAGCGTGGCGCAGGGCGGAGGAAAGTAGTTCGGCTGCTCATCCACTATTGGTCCAGATTCTATCAATCTTGTCGCGACACAAGTTGGCGATGATGTTTTAGGAGTTCCTTTATACGAATATTGCTACAATTTTTTCGCTATGTTATAGGAATTTCCGTTATAGGAACCCACGTTATAGGGGGGGTCGACTGTATTTTAAGTTTCTTCAAAAATAACTATTTAAAACAATGGTGTCGGATTAATTTTCAATTGTTACTTAATTGTATTGTTGTGTTGTAGAAAAATAATTGTATTGGTTTTTCGTGTATTTTTCTAAGTAAGAATTTAATTTTCTTATTTGATGGAACTTAGAATAATACAGTTCATATAATACATATTTTGGATCCAAAATATGTATTCTGTTTTAATTTATACAAAATTAATGAACATTAAGCTTTTCTGAAAAAATAAAATTTAATTTTTTCAGAAATTTAAAATTCTTAAATATTCAACTGTTTTTTAGAAATGCCCATGTTGGAGAAAATTGATATTACAGAAATGAATCAACTTTTATCTGATGTTATTCAAAGAGAAAAAGAAGCAGTGTGAGTATATTAATTTGGTTTTAATTTTAATCATAAATAAAATTATATTTAAATTATAAGATAAAAGTTAGTCTTAAACAGCATGGCTGTTGGTTTGGAGTCAGTGTGTTCAAAAATCATTTTATTTTATATTTTTTTAAAACAATTTGAGAATTGTTGTCATTATTTTTTATTACTACTGTATATATGTGGCAATGAGATTACAAATAAGAAAACATTCAGTTGAACTTTTTTGAATTGTTAAATTAGAGTTGAAGTTGGTGTCGAAGTGTAAGATAGTATCAGAGTTACATACATACATAAAAAAAACACGTCGTCCATACACGAAATGTTTAGCCAGCAGAAAGAGAGTAAGGGAAAGGGCAGGGGAAGGAGGAGGAAAAGGAGATAGACAGTAGAGAAAGGTAGGATCCTTCTGAACAGCGTACATATGGCTACAGTACTCTCTGTGTTTGATGTTGGCTTGCAGTTTTTATGCTGCAAGGCTGTAGTCCCCCAAAGGGTCTAAAGTAAATCTGAGTGTAGCAAACACCAATAATTGAGTACTACCATGAATAGCTAAGTGTAGAAGATAGTGCCAAGTGGCTGTTAATAGGAAGACTTATATCTATTTAATACTAATAAAACTGAATGCAATCACAAATCTTAATACTACTTAACAGCTAGACAGACAGTGTGAAAAGCAAACGAACACATAACAAACTAGACGAGACGAACGAACCGACAGAGACAAACGAGCAAGGCTCCAAATTTTTTTTTCTTTATTTATTTATTTATTTATTTTTTCCAAACATTAACTTACTCATTAACCAAACTAACCTACCATAACGTAGGATGAACCTAACCAGATGACAAACCCTAATATAATTTATCATAACCTAACTGGAAACCAAGCTAAGAGTCCCTAAACTAACTTACAACTAGGACTAACCAAATTTAGACTGAAAAAAGACAGAAAATAAGAATTAAAATACAAAGTTAAAAGGCAGCTATATACTGACAGTTGAAATAAAGCAAGGGAAAGCTAATTGCCATCTGCGTCCCTGGAATGGGTGCTGTCAAGAGTCCCACTAAGGGATATAAATGTGATTAATTGATGGAACATTGTATACGTGTGAATGAGTTGGTGCAGGTTGCAAGGCCAGTTGTACCCCTCAAGAATAGCAGCTCTCATCAAACTATTCCTAATGTGATTGTACCTATTGCAGCGTAAAACTAAGTAAAATGGTGTTTGGTCCTCCTGAATACCTCAGTTGCATTGTGGATTGTCCCTAAGGTTAAATCTTTGCAAGTATTGCTTAAAGTTGCCATGTCCTGTAAGTAGCTGAGTCAGGATGTAACTAGGATAAAAGTGGTGAAGAATTGCAGTAGTATCAACCTTGGGGATGAAAGTATAGGTGAGCCTACCAGTGGTGTCATGGTCCCAGCTGTCTTACAAGAGAATGAAGATTTGCTTTTTGATGTGATTGTTGATGTATGAGGTAGGAATATAACTGAAAGTACTAGTAACTGAAAACTTTGCAGATTGTTTGGCAAGACTGTCAACAATCTAGCCTTTTTCCACTGAGTAGGAAAAAGGCCAGTGTTCAAGTAGATATTGAAGAGAATAACAAACACTGTAGGATTGGCCTCAAATGCGTGCTTTATCATCCTAGTGCAGTGGTTCCCAACCTTTTTTCATTAGCGTACCCCGTGACATGTCATATCTCTGGATTGTACCCCGTGACATGTCATATCTCTAGATTGTACCCCTCATTTAAGAAATTTAGTGAGTAACCGTATTGTTAATTTTACATATTGTAACTTTAAATTAAAGAAAAAAAAACTAAAAGAAAAAATGTATAATAAAGTTGTGATTGTTGCAAGGAACATTTTTTATCTAATAATTTTTTAATACTATTAGTTTGTGATACATAATATATTATTTTTTCTGCCATAATAACTAACTTTTTTCTGTACCCCTAAACAACCTATCGTGTACCCCTAGGGGTACGCGTACCACAGGTTGGGAATCGCTGTCCTAGTGGTTATGCCGTCAAGACCTGGGGATTTTTTATTGGTGAGTGAACAGATGGCATTTGAATCCTCGATGTAGGTGAAGTTGTGGTCATTGTCTGTATTAGGTGGAGTGAGTGTAGAACTCTGGATGACCGCTTGTGTATTGTCATCCTGCTGTGGGTCATAGGCTGGTGAGTATGTGTGTGATAGTTTTGTCCATGTTCTTGGTGTAGCAACCATCATGGAACTGTATAGTGGAGGGGGTTTGGAGCTGGCATTTTCCTTACAAGCTAAGTAGTACAATTCAGACCAGGGATTGCAACTGCAAGAGTTGGTACAGAAATCCTTCCAAGTGTTAGTTCTTGTTTTATTTATAAGGGTTTTGTAAGTGTTGTGTTCATGCCTGTGCTGGTCTCTAAGTGTGACTTGAATGTCCGGATCCTGTTCATTCCTAAATTGCCTCCTTAATCTCCTAATTACTTTTTTCTTGTTTTCTAGCTCAGTGGTCCAACAAGGAACATTGTGTTTACATTGTTTGACTTCGGAGGCAATAACATAAGAGTTAATGATTGTATTTGTAAGCTTGTCGACAATATTGTCTAAGGTGTCCTGAGTATAGTGACTGTGGTGAGGGATACCAGCCCAAATGTCATTGAAGGTGTCATGGAATAATTGCCAGTTAGTGCGAGTATAGTGAAAACTATGATTATTAGTATTACTAGTAGTGTTCAGTTAGGTGAAGATATACCTATGGTCACTGGCAGAATCTATGTTGGTAGTGTAACAGTGGTCAACTCTAGGGGTGATGTGACTATTTCCTAACATTAGGTCAATCCAACTTTCCCCCATGATACAGGAGTAGGTCAGAAGGGTGCTGGTGTTCAAGTGAGTAAGGTTGTGTTGGGTCATGGTTTCGTTAACTATGTTACCCCTGGGTCATCTTTTGGACTATGCCAGATTGCAAACTTGGCATTGAAGTCACCTCCTATTAGGATATGTTTATCTTTGCATGAGTTCAGGAGGTGATGAATGTCTTCAATGGCTGTCTCAATGTTAGTGGTGTCTGGAATGTAGACGGAAAATATATAAAGGTGATAGTGTCAGACTTGTAGATTCAGAATCCCCTCCCTTCCTTCCAGTGTGGATGTCATTTATGGACAGTCCCTTAGTATTAAATTATATATATACTGTAGACACTTGAATATACCCACTGTGAGTTTATTTATTATTATTAATTTTTTAATTTGTTTGAGTTGAGTTTATTCAACTCAAATTGATTTAATGTAATTTAAACATGTGGATTTAATCAAGTATGTAATTTCTGTTGTTTTAGGTTTCAGAATTAAACCTGTGTTTAATCCTGTATGTACTGTGTGTGTGTGTGTGTAGGGTAGTGAAGAAAGTCACTTAATGCCCCTGCTACAGAATATAGAATGTACCCAAAATTAATTTGCTCATATCAGGAACACATTAGACCAAGGGGAGCAGATTGATGTGTGTTAAGCAGTGGTCATACCAAGCAATTTCCAGCCGCACAGGTGACTGCAATTGCAACAAGTGCAAGTTGCATATGTTTTGTTATGGTCACATTGTTTGTTGGCATTTCAACTCGGAAATATATGATCTTATAATCAACCAATAAAATTACAGTAGCTTGTTTTTGACTACTTCCATGAGTTTACTGACAGTTTACGTTCTACTTTAGAATATTTACAGAATTTTAACCACTTTCTTATTAAAATGGCAAGCAGTTCCTTTCTGCAATGAATAAAAGAAAAAAGGCGATCATTTTGTTAGAACTGGCAAGAACACACAAAGAGAAAAATAAGAGAAAACGTTTATGCTTTGAAATGAAAATCAATGGGCTAATACCATTACTAATAAAATGTCAATTTAATCATTAAAAATTTAGATATAGAAATAAATTTCCTTAATCAAAAGTTTAACATTGGGATGATGATTGTATTTTTCCTGTTTAGTTAACATTTCTAACGATTTGATTTTTAAAATTATATAGTTTATTTTTTATATGTAATTTTACCAAATATAATAATACTTTGTCAGAGGTATTACTTTAACGTTTAGCTTCTCTGAAATTATTTTAGGAAAGAAAAGGAAATTTTAGAGATAAAAGTTGCAGAGTTGCATCAAAAATTAATGGAAATGGAAAACAAAGAAATTTCATCAAAATCAGCAATATTGTAAGTAGAGATTAGAAACAAATATTTTCCTTAATTCAACTTGATTTTAAAATATTGCTATTTATCAGTTTTATTTTCTTAGTTTAAGTTGATATTTTCAACACACAACTAAAAAATGAAAAATCATTGAAAGTAATTAGAGTAAAATTAAAAAATGTTATCTTAAATATTTAGAAATTTTTTTCTAATAAACAGAAAAGAGGAATCTGGAGTTGAAGACCACACTTATGAATTAAAAATGGTAAATATATGTTCTTTACTTTTAAATATAAATAATCAATAGTTATATGAACACTATTTATTTTAAATTATCATCATTATTATTATGTTGTGATTGTTATGCTCAGCTGATACTGGTGCCAGACTGAAGTCAAGACATATCTACCCAAACAAGTGTAACATTAAGCTTCTGTGTTATTGATGTGTGTCGATGTCTAGAAACATCCTAACAATGTGACATGTTCAATATTGTGGCTTTCTATAGTGTCATATACAGCAGGGATGGCCAACAAGTCGATCGTGATCGACCAGTCAATCACGAAGCCAATTTTGGTCGATCGCTTGCGATGTCTTGAATTAATGTGTTACACTTGTAACTGAACGTAACGCGCAAACGCAAATGTAGTGATATTGGGCTATCGCGTCTTCCCTCAGATGCGGTTTTGTCGGTCCATGTGATATTCATTTGCGTACAGTTGTAAAAGGGAAATAAGAAATGTAGACAAAGGATCATAAAACCAAAAAAAAAAGGTGGACAGAGGGAAGTAGTCGGGACACGGTAGAAAGAGGAGGGGTGAAGTGGTGGTCCCCGAAAGTTGAGTTTCAATTTTTATTCTGTTTACAATGTACCTTTTCTTCATGTTTTAAATTAAATTGTGGCTTTTCTTATCTATCTAAACATAGTATGCATTTCACACCACCCCCTCGTCACTTAGACTAACCCTACGTCAACAAGTCGATCGCGACACATTTTTAAGATAAAAAGTAGATCTTCTGTACATAAAAGTTGGCCACCCCTGATATACAGGGTGGGCCAACAAAAATGAAACGGCAGAGTTTTTGGATAGTTGGATTTGTATTTAAGCAAATCTCTCGGACAGGTCGATTTTATTCTCAAGGGGGACATCTTTTGCAATAAAGTTTTTGTGATTGTGAATACAACAGATAAGGAAAAATTTTTAAAATTCATTTATTTTTTATTAACTAAACAAACATTTAGTTCAGAAAAAAGTAACACAAACATAAAAAAAGTTATCTATTCAATAAATGTTCGAATTGAGCACCACTAGCCTCCATACAATAATACAAATTTTTTTTTTAATAATAATAATAATAATAATCTTTATTTGTCGTACAAGGCTTTCGCCTGTTACAAGGGCGTTATAGTTAGGAAGAACGAAGATAGTTAAGGAAATAAAATTTCTAGGAAAAACATTTACACCAAACCTTTCGTTTGAGAAACATTATAAAAATTCACTAAATAAAGCAAAAATTGCAATAAATAACCTAATTGGTCTATTCTGTAAGGCAAAACTAAAGAACTTAAGAACACACTTTCAACTTTTTAATTCGCTTGTAATGAACTCAATGGGCTATGCAGCCCCAGTTTGGAGTATGGATAAATTTAATGATTTCGAAAAAATACAGAATATATTTATACGCAAGATATTCCAGTTAGAATTTAATATCCCGGGCAGTGCTTTAAGATTAGAAACAAACAGATTTAGACTAAATACTATATTAATAAAAAGATATTTAATGTTTCTACAAAAAATTATAAAGGCAGAAGACATAACAACAAAATTACTGTTTATACTATATCACAAATCAAGGGAAACGGACTTAAGACGAAGTTGGATAATACAGCTATCAAAAATAGTAAATAAATATGGATTCTCTATTAAATTGCTTTTGGATCATACACACAATATGGAACAGCATAGTAAAGAAATAATATACAGAGTTATGGAGCTCTCCATCGTTCAAGACATTGAAGACATACGAAAACGGGAAAACACAAGCTGGTATGCAACAATTTTAAATTACCCAGTAAATAATAACTATATATTGACAAATCTAGCTTTTAACATCAAAAAGTTTTTTATACAGCTTAGGCTAAATAAATACGGAATAATTATAAATGATAAATATATAGACTATACCCAATCTAAATGTCCAAACTGTACTAAACCTTTATCTAGAGTTCATATAATATGTGAATGCTGTAATGAAAAAGATAAAATACAAAGGCTCCAATTGGAACCGCTAGTTAACTGTAACAGTGAAATGGAAATGTTTAAGATTTTTGACAGAGCTAATACTAACACGATTTATATGTTATATAATTATGTTAAACAATTTATTAAATGATAATTGTGACAAAATATTAATGTAATTTTATAGATCTGTAAAGATGTGATTATATGAGATGTTAAATTAAAATGCGTTATTTAAAAAAACGCCCTTGTAACAGGCGAAAGCCTTGTACGACAAATAAAGATTATTATTATTATTAAAAAAAAATAAAAATAAAAAAATAATACAAATTTTGCTCAAAACAGTTTCTTACACTTCAGAAAGTTTCGGGTGTTATTTGAGAACACTCGCCTACAATTCTTTATCGTAATTTTTCAAGAGATCCTGGTTCAGTTGCATAGATCTTACTTTTTAAATGTCCCCAAAGAAAAAACTCAAGAGGACTAAGATCTGGGGATCTAGCTGGTCATTCTAAAGGACCTCTACGTCCGATCCAATGCCCAGGAAAAGTCGTGTTCAAAAACTCTGTAACTGGCTTGCATAATGTGGGGGGGGCGCCATCTTGTGGAAAGTAAAACTGTCTTCTAAGTATTGGTCATCATGTTCGACAATATCAACAAGTAATGAATGTACAACATTTTTAAGTAAATCTAAACAATTTATTCCCATTAGATTACCATTTAGGAAAATGGAGTCAAGTACTCAATCTCTAAAGATTCCAGCCCACACATTTAGCTTTTGTGAAGTTTGGCTATGAACTTCATGAAATATGCTTTGGTTATTATTTGACCAATATCAACAATTGTGATGATTAACCACTTGTCGTACGAATGTTTTTAAAGGAATTTTTAATTAAACATAAAAAATACTTAAAACTGAAAATAAAAAATGAAAGAAATGCGTTAATTTTGAAGAAAAAGGTTCAAAGTTTAACTTCCTTTGTCTGAAAATGTTCTGCGAAATTTGACACTGATAAGTCATTGTTTACACAGCTGGATGACCTTGAGAACATCTGGTGTCAGATTTCCCGGGACATTCTCATAGACGTCTCAGGAGGACAAGGGTTTAAAGTGGGGTGAATACTAGCTGGCGGTATGTTTTTAAATATTTTTAAAAAATTAAAATTTTAATTGCGATTTTCGACCCCCCCCCCGATTTAATTAAACTTATATATAATAAAATATATTAATTAAAAAAATTAAAAAANTAATATTGACTGATAACATTGTGAAACAAATAAAGCAGAAAATTTGAGAGAACTAAAGTTTTATGATTACAGAGCTGAATATGCATTTTCCTCAATTGTCATATTCTGTGCTTTGTGAAATTGTGACAACCAAACTGCAACACCACAAGATATGTGAAAGATGCATACTGAAAATGTTGACTGATTAGTACAAATCACAGGAAATGGCTTTGGTGTCAATTATTCAACAACAACAAACTAGTGAATGTGACTGCTTTCTGAATCATGTTACTGGTGATGAGACCTGGGACTCATATGAGAACAATGAAAGCAATCTGCAATGAATGCATTCTAGTTTCCTAAAACAAAAAATTCAAGGCAGCATTGTCTGTCAATATGATCTTCAGGCTGTCTTTTGGGACTGAAAAGGCATTCTGCTCATTGAATTTCTTCCACACAGAAACAGTGTAAGTTCTAAAACTTAGATTGTGTCATTCTTCAAAAATTAAGGAGATACTCACAACAATGCCTACCCATGCATTGCAAATCTCGTCAAAGATGTTTTATAAACTGGAATATTTTTTATTGCAAATAGTAGTAGTGTACTTTACTTTAACTCAGTATAATATAGACTTTGTAATAATCTAAATTTTTTTTGTTTTAGGATTTTTGTTGTAAATATACTTATGTTTTCATTGATTTTTATACACTCTAGAAATAATTTAATCGTTATCTTCATAACTGCTTTTATAGATTTGAATATGTGAGAAAACAATGGTTTTAAACAGGGCTCATGCTTACTTGCATTTGATATATTTGACCATTCATTTCATTATTCTTTTTTTACCCAACTTGACAATTATTTTCTTCAGTTTACCATTTTTAAGAAGCATAATACATTTCATTACTTAATGTCAATATTGTAACAGTAGTTTAACAAGAAGTTCTTTCACCATGTTTATAGGACTTGCTGTTTATTAATCTATCAAATTTCACAAACTAAAATTTTTAATTATTTAAAATTGTTAATTAGAAAAAAATAAGTTTTAGAATTGCCAAATTATTCAGATTTAAAATAAGACATTTTATTATATAAAAATAATTTATCCTGTTATTAATCTGCAACCATAAACTATATTTTTTCCATTAAGAGGGGGGAAAGGGCAGTTATTTTTATAATGATTGTAAAAAGACTCTTCATGCCAACATTCAAATAAAATAATTGACACCTCAGTGTTGCAGCATTACAATTATGATTTATAAACCCCTTAATGCTCACTGATTAATTAATTTAATGTAATTAAGCATAAAAAATACTTAAAACTGAAAAAAACGAAAGAAATACGTTAATTTTGAAGAAAAAGCTTCAAATTTTATTTTCCATTGTCTCGCCTTTCTGCGAAATTTGACATTGACAAGTCATTGTTTACACAGCTGGGTGACCTTGAGAACAGCTGGTGTGTATTTTCCAGGACATTCTCATAGACGTCTCGGGAGGACAAGAGTTTAAAGTAAGGTGAATACTAGCTAGACCTATATTTTTAAATATTTTAAAAAAATTAAAATTTTAATTGCGATTTCCGACCCCCTTGATTTAATTAAACTTATATATAATAAAATATATTAATTAAAAAAACTAAAAAACTATTGGAGGTCGTTTTTGACATCAGAAAGTAGCTTTAAATAACTTTACCGAAGTCAAATCCGTGCACCAGAACTTTAGAATGATTAATTAAATTTGATTAAAAAATCGCATTAAAAAACAATTAAGCGTTAATCGCACGTCATTAAAGGTTGATTAAAATCGCGATAAAATTTTTTTGCACAGGTAAAAATTTTTGAAAAAATTTGGAGACTTAAAAAACATTCCAAAAATCAAAAAAAAAAAATTGGGGGGCTGAAAGGACCACATTTTCTGTAACGCTATGTAACATGCCTGAGTTAACTCGGGTCCGAACGTTAAGGGGTTTTAATTAATTAACTGTTGAGTTTTAAAAAATGTGCATTTGTCGGAAAAACAAATGTTAAAAAGATAATCCACGTCAACTCTTAACCTTTCTGTCATAATTTCGCAAAATTGCTGTTGCCGATCAAAATCATCTTCATTTAATTGGTGACTAAATTAATTTTGTATGGATGAAACTGTGAGCTTTGAGGATCTGGCAAATAGATTTTCTGCTAATGCTAGCCACAGCCTCCAGCTTCCTTGTACTTAAAGTTGGGTCTGCAGCAACTTGCCCCAAAATCCCAATCTCTGTCGCTTCATTTCTTACTGGACGTTCACGTTTGGGGGTGCGTTTTTTTGTTAGCCATAGAACCCATTAACTGAAACTTTTGAACCAACTCCAGAACATATTTTGCATTATAATGTTTGTTTGGATAGCGTTGATTAAATAAGTTTGCAGTAAGATGAGCATTCTCACCATTTCTGAAATGAAGAGTTACTATTTCCACCCATTCAGCAATTGTATAAACCATAATGATTATGTTGTACAAAATTCACAATAAACAATAATAATCTTAAATTCTGATTGATTCACTAAGTAGTCAAGCTTAATATGAACATCAGCAAACAGATAACACATAATCAGCCTTAATTTTATGATCAATTTTTTTTCCTTGCATAATTTCTGACATGTCCCCTTCAAGAATAAAATTGACCTGTCCGAGCAATTTGCTTAAATACAAATATGTTTCATTTTCGTTGGCCCACCCTGTATGTTTTTATTAAGGTTTAATGTTTCTAGACTTTTGTGTAGTGTATTTGGTATGATGCCAATAAAAGAGAGGACAATAGGCACAATAAATATAAGGGTTGCCCAAATGAAAAGTGGACAACCTATCAGATCTGGCAAAGATCCCAGTGTCTCGCAAGCAGATTGTTCCCCTTGTGTAGAATTTTGGTGGCTGATGGTAAAAAAATTCTTTCGACCCCATCCTTCACTTCATTGTCTGACAAGAAACTTTGTCCTTGCAAAGCTTTCTTGAGAGTTCTGAAAATGTGAAAGTCACATGACAGTTGAAAAAAGTCAACATCACTTTTCCAGCACTGTGCAACATTACTGACTTACAAAGTGTCAGGAAGGATGAGAGTTTTATTGCATTCTCATGTTCTTCATTTCAGGAGTGTAATAGTGACACCATGTCTTTCTCTTGTAAAAAATACAAAGGAGGAACTCAGAGTCTTATAGCATTGCTCTCATCTGTAGATGTCTGCACTCATATTCCCTTCAACCATTAAAAACTGACTACCATCCGTTGTTTATTCTGAACTCTTCTTGTAACAAACTTAACATTAATCAGTCAATTACTGGAAATAAAATCTATTCCTGCCAATACCTAATGTAGCCCATGCTTCACCATTGTTGAACTTACTTGCCTGTAAGAGGGCTCAACAATTGTTACTTTGCATGATGAAATATGATGTGTCCAGTTTTTAATTGGGCAATCCTAATACACTATCCATCTTTTACAGTTGCCTTATTTCTTGGGCAAGTGGAGTGTACTTGTTCATTTTTTGAGATGAGGATATTGTTGTGAAAATAAGTGATGTAACTGTTGTCTATATGTTATCATATCTGTTTTGAGTTTTGTGATAATGAAGTTTGATATGCTTTATGACAGATGATAAGCTTGTTTATTTCTGATGTCCATTTCATCTGTTGGCAAGGTTTACCTGCCTTAATGATCTGTAGCTGGATCACCTCAGAAACATTAAGGTTAGGCTGGTTCCCCACAAATGGTATGGGCATTGCAGTACTTGACAAGTACTACTTTCACCACTGTGAGGCCAAGAGAGACTATGACATATTTTTTGAAAACAAGCTGCTGCTAACTCACAAGCATAGTCCTTGTTAACCCAGGTAACATCTGAGCCAGTATTACACTTGAATCATGTTATAACCATGGTTAGATCTCCACAGATGTGGATTCAGTCACTCTTGGCTTTGTTTCTCCCCACAGACCTCACTGGCATAGGTGACCCTACCAGGAGCAGATGCTCCAGCCAGCATAGTTCTGTGGTTCATCAGAATTACTGAGCTCTGTCGTGAGAGAGTTATTATTATTATTATAGTATTTATATTATAATAATAATTTTATAATTAATATTATTTTTTAACAGAAGTTACAAAAGAAGGAAACTGAACTTGAAGAAATGAAACAAAAATTAGTAAGTAAATCTTTATTAATTTTAAGACTATATGTGGACCATTGAAAACTTTGTAGTCTTATACAGAATTGACACTGCAATTATTATTGACTTCAGCATTCAAATCTTTCATCTTTATAAATTTTACATGTGTTCAACTAATCATCTATCAAATTTTGTTTAATATCCCATTAAAGTAAGTGTGTCAGGTGTCTTTTAAAAAAAATGAAAAATTGAGAATAGTATTATCATAGATTATTTTGTCAAGATGGGTATGACTCCAACTGAAATTAAAACTTACAAGGATAATACTTAAGATATTAAGTATTATCCTTGTAAGTTTTAATTAATACTTAAGATATTAAGTATTATCCTTGTAATACTTAATATCTACCATCCATTGTTTATTCCGTATAAGACTAAAGCATAGAAAGATGCTTTAGTCTTAGAGGAGAGTATATTGAAAAATAAAAGCAATTTGTTGTCTTTCTATGTTGGCCACAAAGTTTTCAAATACTCCACATAAATAATTTAATATAGAATTATGATGGTAGATTAATTTTATATGCTTAATGGAGTTTAAATATCTCAATGAAAATTTAGAACTTTTTTTTTTTTTCAGAATTAATATATTTTCCTATCATTAAGTTGAACTGTATTAACTTGAATCTCTCACTAAATCAAATTTTATTTGTACTTAAGATGAATCTGATCTATCACTTCTAATGGTAAAATGGTCTGCAACTCTATTTTAACATGACAGGTACAGCTTGGAAGACAACCAACAACAGCAACAAAGAAACTATAAAAAATCCATTGTATGATGTTGCAAGATTACATAGAAAGATTATATAAAATCAAAATTAAAATATTTGAGAGAAATGACAAAGAAACAGCTGCTGTTTCATCAAGATAATTCACTAGTGCACATAACCATGATTCTGATGGCCAAACTTCATAAACTTTTTTGAATTGCTGCTATTTTCTTAATTTTTGCTTGCTCATTGTCAAGATTTATCTTCCTTTTTTGTACTCAAAAAATTTTCAGCCAAAATTAAACTTTTCATTGGATGAAGTTATTACTTCAATAGAAGAGTATGAAAGCATTTCTACATCATTGGTTTTTAGGTTTATTTTGGTTACAGCAACATGACACATGGGCAATCTGCCAAGGGAAAAGGGCCAGTTTCCCTTAAAAGACCTTCCAAGAGGCAAAAGCCTCCTGTGGGGGTCTTTTAAGGTAAGTTGACCCCTATTTAGGTGTTACTAATGAGAAGAAAACCCTGGAAACTCCATTCAGCCAGCCTGTTGGTGAGGCATGAACTCACAAAAAACTACCAGTGTTTATTGATTTTGGCCACTTGGCCACTGGTGACTGGTCACTGGCCACAAGTGACTGGCCAGTACTTGGCCACTGGTGGGTAACTGCACCACTGGATTAAATACTTTAGTCTTAGAGGAGAGTATATTGAAAAATAAAAGCAATTTGTTGTCTTTCTATGTTGGCCACAAAGTTTTCAAATACTCCACATAAATAATTTAATATAGAATTATGATGGTAGATTAATTTTATATGCTTAATGGAGTTTAAATATCTCAATGAAAATTTAGAACTTTTTTTTTTTATCAGAATTAATATATTTTCCTATCATTAAGTTGAACTGTATTAACTTGAATCTCTCACTAAATCAAATTTTATTTGTACCCTGATATAACTCCCATATACTCAATGCATTCTGTATCTTTAGAAGTTGAAGTGGTTTTCAGAATGTTTTGATAATACAAAATCTATAATTCTAATAAATTTATTTCATTCCTGATATGTGCTTTCTGCTAAATTTTCAAGAGATTAAGATGAACTTGAAATAGAATCAAACATTTAATTGTACATACTGAAGGAAACACACAGTTACTTGACCTGTTACTATCTGATACAGAAATATAATTTATTGAAAAATTACTATTGATTAAGATATAAAAAACTTGCATATTAGCTTTCCTAAACTTATTTTGCTTTATTCATCTTATTATTCTTAAAATTTATAAAAAAATACTTTAAATTAATAAAACAACATATACAGTATTTTATAATTGTATAAATAATAATGATATATATTTTAATTATTTTATTTTAATAACAAAACAGAATAACTAAAAAATGTTATGCAATGTATAATGTATTGTATTTAGGAATAACTCATTAAAGTAGAAAATGTCATATCAACTAACAAATATTAGACTATACAATGAAGAGACTTCTTTGTCTGTGTTCACTTCCAGTAAAAGGTTGACTCTGCTGTAAGACTGTTATTTTCCTGAAGTATAAACAAGGACAAAGAAGAAGACTCTTCTGTATATCTAATATTTGTTAATATTTACAATTATTTGTCCTGGTCATTTTTATCAAATTGCATCAACTTATTAAGGAATGAATATAATAATTGAGCCAAATTATATGGATAAGATAGTATTAAAATTATCATTGTTGTCTTACTAGATTTGGAGTGATTTGTTTCTTCTTGAAGATGAAAATGAAAAATATTATTTAATCTATTTAATTTTTGTTTAGGATATTTCTATTTATCTACTGAATTTGAATTATTACTGTTTTAGGCAAATTATGATGCTGCTATAAATCCTCAAGTTCCTATTTCAACAGATAAAGTGTCAGTTTTAACGTAAGTAGTGTATTTCATAAACTAATAGTTTATAGCAGTGTTTCTCAACCATTTTTGACCTTTAGCCCGTTTTGAGCTTAATATTTGCTGTGGTCCAATAGTAGCTCATTTTCATAAATTTTGCACTGTAGATAACATTGTTAACATTAAATCACATAACTTTCAATATTCAAATTCAAAACGAGTGTACATATGGTATTAATATGTGTAGGCTAATTGTTATTTTTTAAATTGTTAAGTTTAGTTTTACATTCAATTTTATGCCAGTTTTGAAGAAGAACAAACGGAGGTATTAAATTGAAATTTTATAGTATATGCAGTCTGTATAATGCAATAAATCTATATTTTAATAGTAAACATCTTTTGAAAAAAAAAAGAAAACAACATGCTTTGCATACATATGCAAGATTTGTTATGTCTTTGTTTACAAGAAGTAAATGTATGTATGTTGTATAATAAGAAATAAAACATTTTAGGTTCAAAATTTATTTATCAAATTTCTTTTGTGTTTTATTTGAATGTGATAATTTACTTATTGAAGTTTAATTGTTTACACATAATTTTAATAATTTATTCTGTTGTTTACACACAATTTTAATAATTTATTCTGTACTTAGTACTTAGTATTTATTCTGTATGTAATACTTAGCTTTAAAAGTAACTAAAAATATATTTATTTTCATACTTAATTTTTAAAAAGTCAGAAAATAATTATTAAATTTTGTAGTTTTACAGCTTTAGTAATCAATGCTTAATTATCTTAATTATATTTTATAATTATTATTTTAATGACATTTTTTTAAAGAATATCTTAAATTTATAGTATTTTAAAAAATACTTTCAAGTTAACTTCATATCTTCATATAACAGGTTTCCTACACACCTGGAAAGTCAGGAAATTTGTCTGCTTAGCAGTTTTGTTAATTTTGTTTGTGAAATATGGCTGACCAAATGTAGCCATCTGCAGGCAGCAAGAAGTAATGCTGCAACCTTTATTACGCATATACCAGAATTTGTTTTTCTATCGAAGCATTTTTAGTTTTAGAGGACACCACTAGATGTACAAATCCATCTTTATAAGATTTTTGTGTCTTTCTTATGTGCTTAACTGCTTTCCTTATCTGATATCGTCAAAAGCATCTTCCAAAAACACTGAAAATTTTTCTGAGGTGCATAGTTCATCAAGATAATTCACTAGTGCACATAACCATGATTCTGATGGCCAAACTTCATAAACTTTTTTGAATTGCTGCTATTTTCTTAATTTTTGCTTGCTCATTGTCAAGATTTATCTTCCTTTTTTGTACTCAAAAAATTTTCAGCCAAAATTAAACTTTTCATTGGATGAAGTTATTACTTCAATAGAAGAGTATGAAAGCATTTCTACATCATTGGTTTTTAGGTTTATTTTGGTTACAGCAACATGACACAAGGGCAATCTGCCAAGGGAAAAGGGCCAGTTTCCCTTAAAAGACCTTCCAAGAGGCAAAAGCCTCCTGTGGGGGTCTTTTAAGGTAAGTTGACCCCTATTTAGGTGTTACTAATGAGAAGAAAACCCTGGAAACTCCATTCAGCCAGCCTGTTGGTGAGGCATGAACTCACAAAAAACTACCAGTGTTTATTGATTTTGGCCACTTGGCCACTGGTGACTGGTCACTGGCCACAAGTGACTGGCCAGTACTTGGCCACTGGTGGGTAACTGCACCACTGGATTAAATACTTTAGTCTTAGAGGAGAGTATATTGAAAAATAAAAGCAATTTGTTGTCTTTCTATGTTGGCCACAAAGTTTTCAAATACTCCACATAAATAATTTAATATAGAATTATGATGGTAGATTAATTTTATATGCTTAATGGAGTTTAAATATCTCAATGAAAATTTAGAACTTTTTTTTTTTTATCAGAATTAATATATTTTCCTATCATTAAGTTGAACTGTATTAACTTGAATCTCTCACTAAATCAAATTTTATTTGTACCCTGATATAACTCCCATATACTCAATGCATTCTGTATCTTTAGAAGTTGAAGTGGTTTTCAGAATGTTTTGATAATACAAAATCTATAATTCTAATAAATTTATTTCATTCCTGATATGTGCTTTCTGCTAAATTTTCAAGAGATTAAGATGAACTTGAAATAGAATCAAACATTTAATTGTACATACTGAAGGAAACACACAGTTACTTGACCTGTTACTATCTGATACAGAAATATAATTTATTGAAAAATTACTATTGATTAAGATATAAAAAACTTGCATATTAGCTTTCCTAAACTTATTTTGCTTTATTCATCTTATTATTCTTAAAATTTATAAAAAAATACTTTAAATTAATAAAACAACATATACAGTATTTTATAATTGTATAAATAATAATGATATATATTTTAATTATTTTATTTTAATAACAAAACAGAATAACTAAAAAATGTTATGCAATGTATAATGTATTGTATTTAGGAATAACTCATTAAAGTAGAAAATGTCATATCAACTAACAAATATTAGACTATACAATGAAGAGACTTCTTTGTCTGTGTTCACTTCCAGTAAAAGGTTGACTCTGCTGTAAGACTGTTATTTTCCTGAAGTATAAACAAGGACAAAGAAGAAGACTCTTCTGTATATCTAATATTTGTTAATATTTACAATTATTTGTCCTGGTCATTTTTATCAAATTGCATCAACTTATTAAGGAATGAATATAATAATTGAGCCAAATTATATGGATAAGATAGTATTAAAATTATCATTGTTGTCTTACTAGATTTGGAGTGATTTGTTTCTTCTTGAAGATGAAAATGAAAAATATTATTTAATCTATTTAATTTTTGTTTAGGATATTTCTATTTATCTACTGAATTTGAATTATTACTGTTTTAGGCAAATTATGATGCTGCTATAAATCCTCAAGTTCCTATTTCAACAGATAAAGTGTCAGTTTTAACGTAAGTAGTGTATTTCATAAACTAATAGTTTATAGCAGTGTTTCTCAACCATTTTTGACCTTTAGCCCGTTTTGAGCTTAATATTTGCTGTGGTCCAATAGTAGCTCATTTTCATAAATTTTGCACTGTAGATAACATTGTTAACATTAAATCACATAACTTTCAATATTCAAATTCAAAACGAGTGTACATATGGTATTAATATGTGTAGGCTAATTGTTATTTTTTAAATTGTTAAGTTTAGTTTTACATTCAATTTTATGCCAGTTTTGAAGAAGAACAAACGGAGGTATTAAATTGAAATTTTATAGTATATGCAGTCTGTATAATGCAATAAATCTATATTTTAATAGTAAACATCTTTTGAAAAAAAAAAGAAAACAACATGCTTTGCATACATATGCAAGATTTGTTATGTCTTTGTTTACAAGAAGTAAATGTATGTATGTTGTATAATAAGAAATAAAACATTTTAGGTTCAAAATTTATTTATCAAATTTCTTTTGTGTTTTATTTGAATGTGATAATTTACTTATTGAAGTTTAATTGTTTACACATAATTTTAATAATTTATTCTGTTGTTTACACACAATTTTAATAATTTATTCTGTACTTAGTACTTAGTATTTATTCTGTATGTAATACTTAGCTTTAAAAGTAACTAAAAATATATTTATTTTCATACTTAATTTTTAAAAAGTCAGAAAATAATTATTAAATTTTGTAGTTTTACAGCTTTAGTAATCAATGCTTAATTCCAAGGGAAAAGGGCCAGTTTCCCTTAAAAGACCTTCCAAGAGGCAAAAGCCTCCTGTGGGGGTCTTTTAAGGTAAGTTGACCCCTATTTAGGTGTTACTAATGAGAAGAAAACCCTGGAAACTCCATTCAGCCAGCCTGTTGGTGAGGCATGAACTCACAAAAAACTACCAGTGTTTATTGATTTTGGCCACTTGGCCACTGGTGACTGGTCACTGGCCACAAGTGACTGGCCAGTACTTGGCCACTGGTGGGTAACTGCACCACTGGATTAAATACTTTAGTCTTAGAGGAGAGTATATTGAAAAATAAAAGCAATTTGTTGTCTTTCTATGTTGGCCACAAAGTTTTCAAATACTCCACATAAATAATTTAATATAGAATTATGATGGTAGATTAATTTTATATGCTTAATGGAGTTTAAATATCTCAATGAAAATTTAGAACTTTTTTTTTAATCAGAATTNATGGCTGACCAAATGTAGCCATCTGCAGGCAGCAAGAAGTAATGCTGCAACCTTTATTACGCATATACCAGAATTTGTTTTTCTATCGAAGCATTTTTAGTTTTAGAGGACACCACTAGATGTACAAATCCATCTTTATAAGATTTTTGTGTCTTTCTTATGTGCTTAACTGCTTTCCTTATCTGATATCGTCAATAGCATCTTCCAAAAACACTGAAAATTTTTCTGAGGTGCATAGTGCTGAACCTTGCACAATTGCATATAATGAATTAATTTTAATTTTTATACATGTAATAAGTTTTATTTATTGTTCTATTGTATTGTAAGAATATATTTTAAACTCACTCAAAATCAGAACTTTAAATCACATCAACTTGTTTAATTTTTTTTAAAATTTTGTTTTAATGTTTTGACAGTTAATACAAACATTTACTTTTACTGAGTTGTGGTCAGTTTTAAAACTAACATTAATGTTTATGTGAAGAATTATAATAAAATGCAACACTGAGGAGAGCATTCCAAAACTCCTGGGGATGAAACAGTCTCTAATATAATATACTGCCAGATCAATCAGCATTTTTAAATTTTAAACATTTTGAGATTTAAGAAATGCTTTATCATGATTTTGAGAGAAAAATCTGCAATACTCTTGATAATATAACATGGATTCAAGTTCTTCCAAAATATTTTAAAAGTTTAGAGGTCATTTATTAGAATGTTCATTTCAAAATAGTTAAATAGATCAGTAAAATTTGTTATAATAACTGAATTTATTATATTGTGTAACTTTTCTTATAATAATCTTTTTAAATATTTTTTTTTTTTTAATTTTAGCTGTGAAATTGGAGATGTTGTTCTGCTGTGCTTTGATGAAAAACATGACAATTACATGGTATTTTACTTGGGACCAGTTTTACATTTCTTACATACTGAATGCTTGGAAACTCTAGGGTTTAAAAATGGTAAGAATTTTTACATAGAAATTCATTATTACACATAATTTTACAGTTAGATTATATTATTTCACTTTTGTTAATTTAATATATTACTTTATATTATGTTATTTGTGTATATAAAGTAAACCCTTGCTAACTCAGACTAATAGGAGTGAAGATTGTCCAAGTTTACAAAAATCTGAGACAGTGGCAGGTTTTCTCTGATGCAGAAAATGAGAATATGGAATACAGTACTGTAATTTATTATGATCAACTCAATGCAGAAATTTTACTGAACTAGTAGATTACACTGCTGAATTTATTACTACAGAAAATGAATTCAAAAACTTTCATGTCAGTGCAGTATATAGCATTGTACAGTCTTTAGTAATACCACCAATGTATGGTATTTATCAACTACAGTACTATAATACATGATATTACAAAGACTTCCAGATATCAAAAACACTTGTTAATTATAATTTTTCTACTGTCAGTAAGTTTTAAATTGCTATACAATTTTTCAAAAAATTTGTCTGAGCTATACAAAGTCTGAGTTGGCTAGGTTCAAGCTAACAGGGATTTACTGTATATATAATTTTATTTTATTTTTAATCTAGCTATATATGCATAGCTAGATAATTTTATATAAAAGTTTGTTATTGAAAATATTTTTATTGGTATGTAATTTTAGTTTGCTTAAGAGTTGCTGTATATGCTTGATTTAAAATTTTGATTTTTATGGATATGATGCTGGATTGTTTGTTCTGAAAACATACATCCTAAACCAGGCTTTGAGAAAGTGTAAATAAATTATTTTCTGTTTAGTTACAATAGTGATAGTCATGAAATAAATAAATAAAATTAATGTTAATATTATTTATTAGTAATCAATTTATGTACTATTTTATTTATTACAATTGATAATTAATTTATTGAATATTAAAAACAATTATATTTTCTATTCTTGTAATCAAAACAAAATCAGTTACAATTAACAACTAAAAATATTATAATAAAAATATCATATTCCCTCAATTAAACCCTGGGATTTAAATAAACTTCAATTTTTGAATATAGGGTAATGTAGTTTAGAGTGACAGGTAAGAAATTTAACTAAAATTCTACTGCTTCAAAATTGTCTAAAGTTAGACAGCACTTTCCATTCCAAGGTACATGGGGACATTTTTTGAAATAAAATTATAAATGTCAAATACTGAATGTAGTCATGATCAAGTTCATAAACGAAGAGCTTATCAGCTGAAGGGTAATTAGGAAAATTCAAACTGAAGATGGCAAGATTAAACTAGAAGATGATAGTCAAAATCTGATTCCAACAATGATATCGAAATGGACATGAATAACATAAGAACTGAATCAGATGCTGAATTAGGTCAACTATGAAAACAGTAATTATTTCAAATGTTATAGCTATAACCTATAAGTACAGTCAATAAACAGTTTTGATAATTCTGAAAAGGTATGAGTAATTAAAATAGCTCTTGATTTTTACACACTTGTCTCTTGTTGCAAGGTTATAAATCCAGAGGGATGTATATGTTTTAAAAATAAACACCCTGGAGTTTAATTGAGGAAATACGATACTATTTAAAAGTAAATTTGTTAAATAAAAAAGTATCAAGTAACAAATTCATAATTTTTCAATAAATGCCAAAAAATTTTAAAACATCTAAATTAATCAAATAAAAATAGTAGATGAAATAGATAATTATAAAAATCAATAAAAAATGTATTAATTTAATATGAAATTCCTTTGAAAAATATGTTAAAATATTGAGGTAGATGTATACATGTAATGCTTAAGAAAAATGGCAAGTTTGTGACAACCTATTATCATCTGTTGCAGTACCACTTGGCAGTTTTTAAAAGTAGACATCAATCCAACTCTGGTGGCATTCACAGTATATTACTACTGCAGTTTTGACAGCAACTACAGTAGAGCATCGATTATCCGACCCCCAATTAACCGTCACATCAGTTAACCGACCGTTCTAGTCGGCAAATTTCAAATGTCCATTAGTGATATAGCCAAATATTGTAGTGACTGTCTTGACTACTTTAATNCAATGCAGAAATTTTACTGAACTAGTAGATTACACTGCTGAATTTATTACTACAGAAAATGAATTCAAAAACTTTCATGTCAGTGCAGTATATAGCATTGTACAGTCTTTAGTAATACCACCAATGTATGGTATTTATCAACTACAGTACTATAATACATGATATTACAAAGACTTCCAGATATCAAAAACACTTGTTAATTATAATTTTTCTACTGTCAGTAAGTTTTAAATTGCTATACAATTTTTCAAAAAATTTGTCTGAGCTATACAAAGTCTGAGTTGGCTAGGTTCAAGCTAACAGGGATTTACTGTATATATAATTTTATTTTATTTTTAATCTAGCTATATATGCATAGCTAGATAATTTTATATAAAAGTTTGTTATTGAAAATATTTTTATTGGTATGTAATTTTAGTTTGCTTAAGAGTTGCTGTATATGCTTGATTTAAAATTTTGATTTTTATGGATATGATGCTGGATTGTTTGTTCTGAAAACATACATCCTAAACCAGGCTTTGAGAAAGTGTAAATAAATTATTTTCTGTTTAGTTACAATAGTGATAGTCATGAAATAAATAAATAAAATTAATGTTAATATTATTTATTAGTAATCAATTTATGTACTATTTTATTTATTACAATTGATAATTAATTTATTGAATATTAAAAACAATTATATTTTCTATTCTTGTAATCAAAACAAAATCAGTTACAATTAACAACTAAAAATATTATAATAAAAATATCATATTCCCTCAATTAAACCCTGGGATTTAAATAAACTTCAATTTTTGAATATAGGGTAATGTAGTTTAGAGTGACAGGTAAGAAATTTAACTAAAATTCTACTGCTTCAAAATTGTCTAAAGTTAGACAGCACTTTCCATTCCAAGGTACATGGGGACATTTTTTGAAATAAAATTATAAATGTCAAATACTGAACGTAGTCATGATCAAGTTCATAAACGAAGAGCTTATCAGCTGAAGGGTAATTAGGAAAATTCAAACTGAAGATGGCAAGATTAAACTAGAAGATGATAGTCAAAATCTGATTCCAACAATGATATCGAAATGGACATGAATAACATAAGAACTGAATCAGATGCTGAATTAGGTCAACTATGAAAACAGTAATTATTTCAAATGTTATAGCTATAACCTATAAGTACAGTCAATAAACAGTTTTGATAATTCTGAAAAGGTATGAGTAATTAAAATAGCTCTTGATTTTTACACACTTGTCTCTTGTTGCAAGGTTATAAATCCAGAGGGATGTATATGTTTTAAAAATAAACACCCTGGAGTTTAATTGAGGAAATACGATACTATTTAAAAGTAAATTTGTTAAATAAAAAAGTATCAAGTAACAAATTCATAATTTTTCAATAAATGCCAAAAAATTTTAAAACATCTAAATTAATCAAATAAAAATAGTAGATGAAATAGATAATTATAAAAATCAATAAAAAATGTATTAATTTAATATGAAATTCCTTTGAAAAATATGTTAAAATATTGAGGTAGATGTATACATGTAATGCTTAAGAAAAATGGCAAGTTTGTGACAACCTATTATCATCTGTTGCAGTACCACTTGGCAGTTTTTAAAAGTAGACATCAATCCAACTCTGGTGGCATTCACAGTATATTACTACTGCAGTTTTGACAGCAACTACAGTAGAGCATCGATTATCCGACCCCCAATTAACCGTCACATCAGTTAACCGACCGTTCTAGTCGGCAAATTTCAAATGTCCATTAGTGATATAGCCAAATATTGTAGTGACTGTCTTGACTACTTTAATATTATTTTTGTTAAATTTTTGCGTGTTTTAGCTGGCAACACGGCTCGACCATAGAAGGGAGGCCAGTATTTAAACGATAATTAATTTTCTAATTATGAGTGGTTGTTTGTTTTATGAGCAATAAAATAATTTTAAAATAATTTTTAATGATACAATAGCGACGATTATTATTTTTTAAAAAAAATTGTTAGGCTTAACATCGATGAAAATTCAATGCAAAGTTGGTTAATAGCGATATACTAATTACATGGGATATCCTAATATACTATACTAATAATGTATTTTTTTTTCATTCTTTTCGGTTATCCAATTTTTTCAGTTATCCGACCAACCTGAATCCCCAATTGAGTCAGATAATCGATGCTCTACTGTAATAGCATTAATTGATTGCTTAATAAGATATGTTATTTTGAATTAATACATGATCTGAATGTATTAATTCAAATTGAGATGTACTGAAAAATTTTACAGGCCATCCTAATGTAGAAAACTTGGAAAGAGTTCATTAAACATTTATTAATTCCTTTTCTTATCAAAATAAGAAAAAAATTTAAATGAGTTTTGCAATAGTTTTTCTCCATCTTGAATATCTGTCAAGTCTGTATTAAAAAACAAAATGACTTGCCATGTGTGGCTGCTCTTCCAAGATACTATTTATAGTATTGCAATTTTGATTTGATAGTCTCTTTTCCTTTCTATACCACTCATATACATCCCCCTTTATAATTGTGAACTGAAAGCATATTGCCATATATTGATTAATAATTGGAATGATTTGAACAGATAATTCATTTGACAGCTATGGTTTATTTTTATTTTAGAAAATTTTTCTATTAAATAAATTAATCTGTAGATTAATATACTTATATACAATAGATTATTCATATAGAACTTAATATTAATTATTTCTTTTTTTACTATATTTTCATCTTGTAATAAATATTAGAAACATTAATCTGGGGGTTAGTTAATGGTTTCAAAATTGACAGCTTATGTTTATGTTGATTTTTTTTCTTCATAAATATTTGTGGTTATCTTTTATTATTTGAATTACCATAAATTCATAATATATTGCTAATTGGAAAAATGTATTTAATGAAAACCATTTTAATAAAAAATAAGAATGAGAAAATAAATATTTATATTATATAAATATTATATTGTATATAAATATTTATTTTCTCAATGATGAAGTACTAGAATAAATTTTTAGGAAAAATTTAGTTTTTATTAGATTATATGAGTTGTTATAAATATTCACACAATCTCTAATTATTCAATCCTCAACAAAATGATTCATGAAACAATTGAACTTTTCAAAAAAATTTTTACAATGGTTTTTAGTCATTGTTTTATTAAAATGTTTAATAAATAACTTTTAATTTAAAGTAAAATATTTATACTTTGTTTTCATTCATGTCAAAAATTTGTTCAATAATTTTATGATTCGTATTATCAGTTATTAGTATCAGATAATATATGAAATAATTTATGTAAGCATTGATTTTCTTATGTGAAAATAAATTTATACATTTAATTATTGCTTTAGCATATTTTTAAGTCTGGAATTATAGTAATTTTAGAGTTGAAAAAAATTAAATTACAAATTTGAGTGAAATATATTTATTTTGAAAAAAAAAGAGAGAGAGAGAAATTAAAATTTGAATTGCTAATTTTCTAAATTTTAAAAATTGTCAATTAAATTTAAATTTAAAAGTAATCATAAATTGATTTTATGAACAACCAAAATGTATCTGTAATATATGTTTAATTGCAGTTTGTTTCACAATAAAATTAATGAAGTATGTTGTATTTTGCAGTTTCTGATGAAAATCGAAGGTCATGGGCATTAGCTGAAGTTATTGAAAAAGAATATTGTTTAGCAAAAAAGGCAAGTTAGTTTTTAAAAATATTAGTTATATGTTTGAAAAACATGGTGATCATTGCTATGTATTAAAATAGAATGTCAATTATCTGAAATAATTGGGGTAGAACAATTTTGGATAACTAATCACATTCTGTAGGAGATTAAAAAGATATTATAATTTGATTAAAAAAATTGGATATTTTTACTTTATTTAAGGAACTTAATTTTAATTCTAGTACCATAATAAAAAAGGTTAAGGCATAGAAATTTAAGTCACCAAATAATGAGAAAGAACAAAAACATTGTCTAATTATTAAAAACAAACACTAGTCTTTCACTGCTATCTACAATGTAGTCTTACTGATAAAGCATTGAATTCAAAATAAAAAATATCTAACAGTAAATTTAATATTAAATAAAAGACAGTACTATAACTGTAATAAATAATTGATTTTCAAAAAAAACGTAAAAATTATTTTACTTTGTTTTACACTAGTATTGATAAGGAGATAGCTCAATAGTGGGCCTACAATTGTACAGATGATTGCTGACAATTGTTATTGACATAAAAACTTTAATTTTTGGAATAAGTATTGTCTGAATTTGATTTTCAGATAATTGATGATTTGTATTTAAATAAAAACACTTCATAGACCTTGTTTCTAAAGTCTGACTTTTAATTATTTTAACTTGCTATGATAATACACAAACATAAGCTAATTAGGAAAGTAATCATACTTTCTAATTCTTGTATCATATAGCAATGATTTAAATAAATTACATTATATGATGACATATGAACTCTTGATTTACAGTAGTTTTGTTTTTGCCATTATATCATGACTAATTTGACAAACAACTAAAAGAACAAATTTGAAGTTTCAGATGCTTGTTTTACATTACTATGGTAAACTAGGTAAATTAATATCATAGGTACTTCCTATGATATTAATTTCTGATGATTTTATATCATCTACTTTACATTAGTAAATGCACACATACCTAATACAGTAAAGACTTCAACGTCTGAAAATTGTGATGTGATGTCACATTTTCTTGTTGCTTTTAAAAATGTAAGCATTGGAATTGATAAGAAATCACTTTTATTTTCCAGAGGTAAAAATCATGTTGGGTAGTGTAATTTAAGATGAACTGGAAATAGTCTGTAAATATTTTCAACTCAAAAAATTAATAGTGATAACACAGATATCTGTCATTTGTGTTGTATATGAGAGTAATATTAGAATCAGCATACCAGATATATATATATATGTTTTGTAGAATTACTTCAGTTAAAAATAAAAATTAAGTAATCATTAATATAATCTTTATGCATAAATAAAAATTCACATGATGTTTAAAAAATACATTATATACTATATTTTCTGTAATAATCATCCATGTCAGTATTCTTCTAGTAGTAATAACTTATCTAAATTGTAACATGAGATAAACTGCACAGGACCTAAATAACAGTATATTAATGGTGTTCAATATTATCAGATATTAGATATAATATTTTCCAATATTGAAGTCAGAAAAATGAATACTGGCTAATATCATTGGTAATGTTTGTAAATATTGATAATGCCTGATATCAGTAGTTCAAGTACTTCATTCAAATTATTGGGCTGCAATTTGAAAAAAATTGTAGATCTATAAATTCCCATTGTCATCTGTCTCTTTCCTTAATCTTAAGAATGGACTTAGATAGATGAAAGTCAAGACCTGATATGGAAGGCTAGGGACAGGAAGCCCTGATTAATTGTATATGAATTTCTGGTTTGCATTGGAAGTCATGTTTAACTCCATTCAGAAGAAAATTTTTGAATTAAAATAGATAGAAGACCAGTAGGATACTATTGCTAACAGGAAAAGTATGACATACAGGGGCAAGAAACTACTAAAATATTGGGAACTTTGTGACAAAGAATTACAGCCCAGCATTATGATGTCACAATAAATAATTGGTTGTTTTATATGTCTTTGTCATGTTGTTCTAATTTTAACTAGTTTTACATTAATTGTTATGTGAGTTTTATGTCTCTTGGAATCATCTTGGAATATTTTTTTACTCCAATAATTTCCCACCAAAATGAAAAAAAAAGAATCACCCACTGGGAAATTATTACATGAAATACAGTAATTGTTAAATAGGGGCCATCCACAAATTATGTAAAGTATTTTGGGTGGGTGGGGGTCAAGGATTTCTTACTCGGGTAGGGAGGTAATAGATCTCATCTTACAAAATATTCTTATTTTTATTTTTTGATATCATTGCGTGGTGACGTTTTGAATTTGGCTTCAATTTGTTGGTTTCTATTAAGAACACTTGTTGTCTCGTGTGACGTGATAGAGTAATAATGCTAGCAGATTCATGCTCCACACATTTTTTGTCATGGGAGAAAGACCGTGTGGTGATTTCTCTCTTGTTTTTTATTAGAATAAGTGCACCACTCCTATGGGTGTATAACACTAAGAATGTATAAACCAAAATACATGATACAAAGTAAACATAAAATTATTCGGCTTTTAGTGAAAACTAAAATGTAAAACTAGAAATTATAAATTATAAATACAGTAGAGCGTCGATTTTCCGAAAGTCAATCATCCGAAAGAATTCCAGTCGGCAAATTTAAATTTTCGGCAGTGCTGTGGCGCTTCAATTTTTGGCTATGTCTTGGGCTACTCAAATATTTTACGTTTTTGATACTAAATTAACATCTGAAGTATAATTTTTTATTGTTTTTATATTTTTCAATATATTTATTTTGTTTGTACAAAATAAAAAAATAATTTTTAACGATACAATAGCCTTTGTTAGGCTTAACATCGACGAAAATTCAACGCGAAGCGACACGCAACGGAGAAAAATTTCAACATTGGATACGTTAAACTATTTTTTCATACATAAATCGGTTATCCGAAATATCAGTTATACGAACAACCCCAGTCCCCAATTGATTCGGAAAATTGACGCTCTACTGTAGTCTTTTCTTCCATATTTTTTTTTAGCATAATCGTAAAAAGCATCAAACAGTGGTTTCTGAATAAGCTTATCGATTGGACATGGCCACCTGAAACTAAGCGTAAAAATCTCTAATTTCAGAATAAGTCTATCTTGATCGTGAATTGGACAATGATAGATCATATGGTCAACGGTGTCTAGGTTTTCTGTAGAGCAAAAGCAAGAAGCAGTTTCTGCCCAGTTATACATTGCCAGGTATCTTCTAAAATTACCATGCACAGTAAGTAGTTGAGCAGTAGCAAACGTTAAATCTCTAAGTGGTGATGAGAACCTACATTCAACACTAGGAAAATAAAGTCTTGTTATTCTACCAGTTTTACTGCTCAACTACTTTTACTGATTCCACTTTGGCATAGCATTGTCATGAATATAATTTTTAAGGCTGCTACGTGAGAGAGGGATGCAAGTGTAGTCCAAATTAATGTCCTTTGCAGCTGACTTAGCCTCAAAATTGGCTTTTTCATTTCCTAGTATGCCAGTATGGCCAGAAACAAATATAAAAGTTATCTTATTTACAAGATTTTTAATATGGTGCTGGATATACATGATTTTATTGCTATTGCAATTGGGATTTAATAGAGCTTTTAGGACAGACTGAGAATCACTGTAAATGTTGATAGAGTTTTGTTTGGTAGTGAAGTGGCCCATTGAACAGCTTGGTAGTCAGTATCATCTTCAGCTTGATAGATTGAGATATGTAGGAGGTATCTTTACCTTCTAACATATTTTTGGCAAAATATGTCAGTTTGGTGGAAGATGGAAGATAGATACTTGAGCCGACAAGAAGGGAGTTTTTGGACCCATCTGTGTAGATATTAATGTCTGTATGATTATCCTTGAAGGAAGCAGATAAACCTTGTTTACAGGATGATGATCAGAGATAGTATGGTAATTGCAATGTGGTAGCATATGAACAGCCATAGATAGGAGTAAAGATCATTGTTGAGCCTTGATGTTTGTAGTTCTGATGTAGTAGTTCAGAACCTTTTCTACAATACATAGTGGCAAAGGAAGGAGCTCTTCTAATATCAGAGAGGCGTTAGTAAAAACAGTTCTGCAGCACTTTGAAATTCTGAGGGTAAACTGGCTTTGAAGAGAGAGTAATTTACTTGCTACTAAATTTTTACTAGTTACATGACCACAGCTAGAGGCTGCGTAAAGTAGCATTGGTTGTATTGCCCCATTATATAGAGTGTTATAAGCTTTATTATTATTTAGTCCCCAGGTACACCTAGCACATTTTAGCAGCATATAGTTTATTTTCTTGGTCTTAGCTAAGATGTAATCAATATGGCAATAGAATTGGTTTCTCTCTATTCTCTCTTGTTTTATTTTGTATGATGTTTCTGTTTACATGTGCACTAACTAGTCGATCTGGCAAAGTTTTTTTGCGTCTTTTATGAAAATTAAAATTAATATAAAAATAAATATTACGACATTTAATAATAATAATAACTCTCCCATGGTCACCACCTGGTCATGGTGGGAGAGCCCAGTAATTTTACTGATCCATAGGGCAATGCAGTCTGGAGCACAAGCTCCTGGTAGGGACACCCATGCCAGTAAGGCCTATGGGGAGAAATGAAGCTAAGAGTGATCACACCCACATTCTGTGGAAATAATTATTATGGTAGTAATCAGATCAAAGTGTGATACTGGCTCGGATGTCGCCTGGGTTAACAAGATCCACGTTCGTGGGTTAGGCAGAGGCTCATGTTTGAAAAGTAGGCCGCAGTCTCCCTTGGTTACCAGTGGCGAAAGCAGCACAGGCCCAAACATGGCTACTGCAATACCCTCAACAAATATGAGGAATCAACCTAGCCTTGGTGTTTCTGTGGCAATGCATCCACAGACCACAAAGGCTGGAAAACCACACCAACAGATGAAATGGACAACAGAAATGAACGAGTTTATCATCCGTACTTACTACACCATCACAAGACTCGAAACAAACATGACAGCATACAGACAACAACTACACCATAGATTCACACAACAATATCCTCACCTCATTGTCACCGAACAAAGGGTTGTTGATCAGAAAAGAACAATTATACACAACAACCTTATCCCACAAACAACACTTGAACTTATCAAACAACAGGTTGCTGATCAAATACATCAACAGACAGAAACATTTAACATTAATGAAGATCACGTAACCTGTCAGGATAATCCAGCAACAAGCACTGATTACAGCACACACACAACAAGTACCACTAATGATACTGCAGGCACTTCCCCATCCATCACTGATAACATAGACATAGAATTAGTTAATACGCTCTCACTTATATTTCAGGAAACACTCATTAAATATACTGGTACAGATCCCACACAAAGACCACGAATACCAAAAATCAACACGTCAAAGGCAGTAGGAAAAACACTAGATTATGTAAACACTCACTTACTACCAAACTACATTCATTCAATTTCTACACTCTCAGACATTCATACATTAGTTTATGCTGGGGCAGTCACAGTAGTAACACACCATGGACTGAAAATACACTCACAGACAGACACACACAAAACACAATTCTATCACAAGCCTGCCTGGCAGAGAAGAATAGAAACACAAATAAATGACATTAGACAGCAATTAGGCAGGCTGACACAATACACTAAAAACAACATAACACCCAAATTAAAGAAACAACTCAAAAACATTTTCAAGAAAATTAAAACACACACAAAACATGAACATCACAACACACACATTACAGAATACATCGATACACTAAAACAAAAACTCGCAGCCAAAGCACGTAGACTCAAACGATACAAAACATGTACACTACGAAAACAACAAAATAAATTATTCACAAACAATGAAAAACTTTTCTACAGACAAATCAGTACCAAAACAAACACTGATACACAGCACAGTGGCACACCAACAGAAGAAGAACTCACAACTTATTGGTCTTCTCTTTGGTCCAATGCTGTTACACACAATGCTGATGCAGGCTGGATCAAGGAGGAGAACAGAAACTTGCACAACATACCAACTATGCCCTGTGCTGAAATAAATGTAAACGACATTTGCTACTCTGTTAACAGAACACACAACTGGAAGACACCTGGTATAGACAACATTCACAATTTCTAGTACAAAAAGTTTACATCACTGCACCAGGAACTAGCCAAACATCTAACACACATCATCATCAATCCACAAGACATGCCAAAATTTCTTACTCAGGGCATCACCTACATGAAACCTAAAAACAACACCACCACAGACCCCACACAATACAGACCAATTACATGTCTTCCAACACTCTACAAATTATTGACATCCTGTATCACAAACAAAATATACAAACATGTTGAAGAACACAACATTCTTACAGAACAACAAAAAGGTTGCCGTAGAAATCACAGCGGATGCAAAGAACAGTTACTCATAGATTCAGTCATTCTACGGCAAGCACACAAACAACATAGAAACATACACATGGCATATATAGACTACAGAAAAGCATTTGACAGTGTTCCACACAGTTGGCTGCTACATATTCTACACATGTACAAAATACATCCATCACTCATTGCATTCTTCCAAAACACTATGCAGTACTGGAGAACAACACTACATCTCAGGTTAGTAACACTTCCATACAAACAAACTAAATATTCATTAGGCGAGGAATTTTTCAAGGAGATTCCTTGAGTCCTCTCTTGTTCTGCCTAGCCCTGAATCCATTATCCAACATGTTAAACAACATGCAATATGGCTACAATATCAGGCATGAAAAAACAACACAGTTTACGCTGTCACATCTCATGTACATGGACGACATAAAACTCAATGCATCCACACAGAAACAACTTCATCAACTCCTACAAATCACACATTCATACACCACGGACATAGAAATGGAGTTTGGCTTAGACAAATCAAAAAACTTCACATAGAAAAAGGAGTCCTGAAGAAAGAAGATTTTGCACTTGGAAATGGAGAAGTTATTGAATCCATGGAAGAGGGTGAGTTCTACAAGTATTTAGGATTCCAACAGGCCAAACTAACAGAACATACACAAATAAAGCAAATATTAATTAAAGAATACCAAAGTAGGTTAAACGCTATTCTCAGAACACAGTTAAAGCAATAAACACATATGTCGTCCCAGTACTCACATACTCTTTTGGAGTTATACATTGGACTCACACAGATCTTGAGCAACTCCAAAGGAAAACAACAAGAACACTTACTAAGCATAAACAACATCATCCTAAATCCGTCACAGAAAGATTAACCCTTCCACGTAAAGCCAGCGGACGTGGCCTGATTGACATAGTTAACCTTCACTACAAACAAATACAGTCAGTGTGAGAGTTTTTCTACAGGAAACAAGAAACATCACAATTACATAAAGCAGTAACTCTAGCAGACTCAAATAGCACACCATTAAACTTACACTCACAACACACAGACATGACACAACACACAAAAAGCATAGATACCATCAAGCAGTCGTGGGCTCAAAAGGCACTCCATGGCAGGCATCCTTATAACCTGGCCCAGGATTTTGTTGACAAAACTGCGTGAAACAGCTGGTTAGATCGGGGATGCCTCTTTGGAGAGATGGAAGGATTCATGATTGCCATACAGATCAGGTCATAAATACTAAAAACTACAGAAAACACATATTCAAAGATACAACACTCACAAATGATACGTGTAGAAAATGTCACATTATGCCAGAAACTATACAACACATTACATCTGGGTGCAAGCTCTTGACACAGACAGATTATTTACACAGACACAATCAAGTAGCAAATATAATACACCAAGAGCTTGCAAAGAAACACAAATTGGTAGACATCTATGAACCATACTACAAGTATATTCCACAAACAGTATTGGAAAACATGCACAAAATGTACTACGACAAGCCATAATTACAGATAAAACAATTTACCTCAACAGACCATACATCACACTCATTGACAAACACAATAAAATCACATACATTATAGACATAGCCATTCCAAACACTTACAATGTATAAAACACATACACTGAAAAAATTAGCAAGTACACAGATCTTGCCCAGGAAATAAGGCATCTGTGGAGGTTGGAAAGGGTGTTTATTGTACCTGTCATTCTCTCCTGTACAGGTGTGATACCACACACACTACACAAAAGCCTGGAAACATTACAATTGAATAGAAATACATACATCACATTACAGAAGGCCATTATATTGAATACATGCCATATTGCTAGGAAATTCCTGAATACAGACACTGACACACTTATTTAATTTTAGTTTTGTTTTGGTTGCTATGCCTTGACTCTGGTCCGGCATAGTACACAGCCATCGGTGTAAGCAGAGTATAACCCACTAAACCCAACATAATAATAATTAAAAAATAAAGTCTCTAAAATAAATTGTTCATTTGAATTCATTAAATTTTTATATATTTAAATTTGTTCACATAAAAGTCTTTTATAAATAATAGTACATATTAATTAACTAATTAATAATTATATATTATGGACCTAAGGTTTTTAGGATTTCATTAAAAAAACTTTTTGGTTAAAATCTTTTTATAAAATCATGCCAAAATATTACGTAAGATAGTGAAGGGGAGAGGATCAAAGAAATTATTACGGTTTCTTACACGGGTGGGTGGGGTCTAGAATGGCTGTAATCGCCCTTATGTAATTTATGGACGGCCCCATAGTGCTGTTTAAATTAAATTAAATTTAATTTTAAATAATTTTTCATAAAGCAAAAATTAAAGTAAATAAAATTTAAAAATTTCTATTTGCAGCCTCATAATCGCTACAAGGTACCAGTTGGAACTCGTTTTTATCGAGTTAAAGCTAAACCCTGGGACAAAGAAATGGCCATCAGACGTCAGCATCAAAGGAGGAGTAGTAGTGCTGGGAGTAGAGGAGCTCCAGTGTTAGATTCTCCTCACTCCTCTGCATCATCTGGAGATGCAGGATATACTGGATCATCATCGTCATCCACAATGTCAGCTTCAGTGATTTAATGGAAATCACTTGAAATTTACATAAAAGTGCCTCTTAAAATTACTTATGGTTCAACCAATAAACAGTTTTCATAAGAACTCTTGGTTTAGTATGTGGAATTATAAATTTATTTTAGAGCTGTAATTATAGTTAAAAAGAATTAATTTAGATTAAAGGAGGATAGTTTTACAGTTTTTTCTACTTTTTTAGGAAAATTAGCAAATAAATATGATTTTTTCCCCCCTCCTTTTAATGGAGAACATCAGCAATTTTATTTTTAGAATCTTCATTGCATGACTGTACTAATTTGTAAATAATCTGTACATATAAATATTGCAACAACGAAATTTATAGATTGTGTTATATGATATAATAGAATTCTATTGAATACATAAACCTGCCACAAATACCCTATATGTATTATAAATGTCTAACATTCTCTTATTCTTTCACAAGAGAAATATATATATTATATATATACAATATAATAAGTCTTTAACTGCAGTTTAATATATGTAAAGATGTTCTGTTTATGAAAAATAAATTATTTTATTCATCTAGTTAATAACATTGAGAATGACATTTTGATTAATGTTTTCTTTTAAAAAAAAAAAGCTTTTAGATATGTAAATAAATGCCATATTTGAACAGAAATAGCACATCTTTTATTGCAATGTTGTAAAATGTTTAGCAAATTTTTATGCTATCTATGAAATCAATTTTAATATTTTATATCTATCAACAAGTTAGAATTAATGCTTTTGTATACAATTTACCAATTGTATTGTGAATTGTTTTTAGTAACCCATAAATGTACAGAATTTTACCGTTAGCTAACAAATAAAGTATTTTCTTTTCTTCGCCCTATATATATTATTCTTAATTACACAAAAATAGCCAGTAACAAGGAAATACAACCCCTGATCAAAAGTATGGGATATTGTTTACTTTGCAGTATGTCATTTAATTCAGCTTAAATTTTGTTAAAAATTAATTATTTATTTAACATCTTTGTTTCTTAAATTTTGTATATAATTGCTTTCATCTCTTTTCTGTTGTTACTTGCACAAGACTGCAAATAAAGTTTCAAAACAAACATGCTCAACACTTGAGCAACATTAGACAAAAATATGGAATATAGTAATTACAGAGATATAAGTATGGAATAAAGTAAATTAATACAGTGTGGGACCACCTTTGGCCTTTATACTGCTTTAATACTTCTCAGTATTGAAGTGACTAATTTTCCACATAAGTCTGCAGATATTTCTGCTCAACTGGTTCAAATAGCACACTTCAATTCAAAAGAAACAGGCTTCATTGTTCAAACAACAAAGTCTGTTTCCTTTTTCAAACCAGTTTCTTTAAAACATTCCACGTATTCTCTATTGGATTTAAATCTGGACTGTTTGGTGACCAATCTAAACACGAAATGTTATTGTTTAGGAACTATTGGCATACTGATTTAGCACAGTAGGAATATGGATTCCTACTGTGCTAAAACATTGTCATTTTGATAGATAAAGTCAGTCACCAAAGTGCTCCTCTTCTGTTTTTTGCATAAAATTGTCTAAAATTTCCAAGTAAACTTCTGCATTCACTTTAGTGTTGACAATCTGTCCTGTTGCAATCATCGTACCCCAAATCATAACTCCATTGAAAATTTTGTTTTTGAAAGAAGATAGAAACTTTTCATTGGGTTTTCTCCAAACTTTACTACCATTCTTATCTCCGTATCCCATGAACGTATGTGACTCATCAGTGAACATAACTTGTTTCCAATGCATCAAATCCCAATTCTGGTATGGTTTTTCCCACTGCAGATGTAGATTTTTATACATCTCAGTCAGATATGTTTCTGCTTTGCTCTTCTTGATATGTAGCCATGTTCATTTAACTTTCTAAGGGTTGATTTTTTAGATACATCTGTACCAGCTTCTTTCCATTCAGCATTCATCTTTCTGAATGACTTAAATCTCATCAAAATCGTTAAAGGAGTTAGATTTCTTTCTTCTTGTTCATAATTCTTCTTGTACATAATTACACAAGGGAGTCCACATCAATGCTAATTGGAGACAGTTCTTTGTCTTTTATATTTAAAATTTCAGACACTGCACTTTGTGTACATTGTATGTGTTTTGCAATTATCTGCTGCTTTTCACCATGCTTGTAATATGAAATTATCAACTGTTTCTTTGCATCACTCAATTCTTGTGTTTTTGGCAGAGTTTTAGAATGCAAACATTGAATCTGCATACTGTAATTGTGCTTAATCTTGAAATGTGATATGCAATAATAGTGTTATTAAATTAATTTTAATATGGAACATGCCCATCATATTCTAAACTTTTGTCCCTGCTATGCTAGCATTTCATATTTTTGTTTCTACTTTTGATTAGTAAATGAATCATCAGTTTTATGCATTATAAAAAATGTATTTCATTTTAGCACATGTTTATGCAAATATGTCTTTTAAATATTTTTTTTAAAACTTGCCTTTGAAATATTGTGATGCAGGAATTTATAGCATTATTCCATACTTTTTACCAGGGGTTGTAATAGGTGCTGGGGTTAATGAAAATCCTCTTAATCACTAATAACTATCATTTAACAGTGACTATTTATTTATTATAGACCATGTACGATGGCAAATTTTCACTACATCATTAACTTATTTAATCTACATTGAACTCTATTACTTAAAGAACATTTTTCATTTGTTCCATTTACCATTATATAGTTAGCTAAATGATAAATGACAGAAAATTCCTGTATCAATTAGTTCTGATGTTTGTATTCAAAATCAAGGATCAGAAGTTACAGTTAGAAATTAACCAATGAACATTTGCATACTAAAAGTAAAGTGAATGGTAATTGGCTAACTTCTAAATCTCGATCCTCAGTAATGAATGCAGCCATGAGTGATAAGAGTTTAACTCTGGGTTGGATCTGAAGAATTATTCTTGAGTAAATGGTGAGATTCATCTCTCATTTGATTGACCCCAGTCAATTTTACTGAATCTAAAATCAATATAATATTTGTTTTTTTTAGTATGAAAAAATAAAATTAAAAAAAATCATTAATAAACTGAAAAGTTTAATAAAATTCAATTGATTTGGTTATGGATTGAAAAAATGGCAAGCACAAAAGATTTCTGTATCATTAAGAATTTTAATGAAAGCCTTTATTTTTTTTTGTGTGTTGTTTTAACTTTACCCTGTGGACACTCCTTTTAAATCATACTCATTATGGATTTGGCCAGATCCACAATCAGGCAGCTGGGTGGTGTCCAGGATCTGACATACTTGGGACAGACCACTCAAAAAAAATTCCTGGTGTTGTTGCCTGGATTTGATCCCAGGTTCCTGAGAGTGGTAGGCTGATGTCTTAACTGCCTTGGCCATCATGTAGCAATATCAAACTGCTCAGTTGCTGAGCATGAGCATGATATAAACTATGCTTTTGTCCACTTTGGGTGTTCTTGTGAACTAGGACTTGTTATACTGAGGGAAGAGAACACACCATTTCCAATTAAGATATATTGTAATGTAAAGTCCTAGTTCACAAGAATTCAAAGTTGACACAAGCATAATATAAGTATAAGGGGCAGTCAAATGAAAACGAGACAGATGGGAAAAAAGTAAGTAAACTGTTTATTATTTCAAAAGTAATTGCCATAACTGTTAATACATTTATCCCACTGTGAGACAAGACGGTCAATGCCTTCATAGAAAAATGTTTGTGGTTGCCTACAGAACCACGATTGTACTCAGGCTTTGCACCTTTTCATCCGAAGCAAATTGATGACCATGAATGTTTCTTTGGGGCTCCAAAAATATGGAAATCACATGGGAAGAAATCGGGACTGTATGGAGGATGTGTAAGGGTTTCCCAGCAAAGTCAAAACAACCTTGGTAACATGTGGACAGGCATTATCCTGCAACAGAATGATGATGTCTGTCAACATTCCTAGGTGTTTGGATTTGATGGCATGCTTCAATTTTTGCAAAGTTTCCATGTACCACTGTGCATTAATTGTGACACAGTGTTCCAAAAAGTCAATGAGCAACGGGCCTCTATAGTGATGTCGGACGCACACGACTCGCCGACCTCACTTCGAGCACTAACAGACAAATGGCACAGCGGTGAACATTCACGCTGTTCCTTCCTGATTCCCAATAGAGGGCACTTCTATACACACACCTACCTGCATTACCAACTTCCATGCCACACTTGTTATATAGTCTGTCTCGTTTTCATTTGACTGCTCCTTATAATTAAGAAGCACATGATAACATGTATATAATGAAAGTTAAATAGCATACTAAAGTATGCTCATGCTGTTTCAACAGAAACAAATGAGAAGCAAATGAAGTTTATTTGATATGATATCATTCTGCTTCAATCTATTATAATCTTATTTGTTGTTGTTTCTTGTGTGTGCTTATGATGGATTGAAATTTTCTAAGTAGCCATTCAGTGATATTTGCATGTTTGACCAATAAAGGTTAAACATGTCATAAGCAAGAAGAACTTCCCGTATAAGCTGCTAGTCCTACTCTAAGCTGAAAGGCCTAATCGATGACCATCCCAAACATGTATTATATACAGCTCTCCCTTAAATTAATAGTCCAACAAGTATGGGACTAAAGGGGTGTCGGATTACCGAAAATAATTACATATTTTGAATTGTTTTGCTAGCAGTAGCTTATAATATTCCCTACTCCAACTGTTTGAAAAGAACTGCTCATGGAAAACACACGAAATGTGTGTCATCGTGTAAGAATTGGGTGGTGAGATTCATGTTGCGACATGCTTCTGTGCAAGCAGACATAAATGAGGACAGGTACCTTGATGGGAGGTGCGTCGGACTACTGAGCATGTCGGATTAAATAATGTATCAAGGGAGAGCTGTATTTGTAAATAAAAATAGTCTAGGCTACATTTAAAGGTAATTTTCAGAAAACCTTTCTATAATGGACAATTTTTTTGGTTTCACAAGTCTGCTTTAGAGGTTTCACTGCATATAAATATGTATAATGTTATTAAATGAACTGTGTTGCTCTTCAGCAAAGTAAACTGAACTCTTTCTTCATTTAGTGGCTGCAACTCAGGTGCTACTCAAAATGGCCAATTATAAACTTCTATAAAAATCTTTTTCATGAATGTGCATTTTCTTCAAATTGTTTATTACTGGTATTAACCTCTGCTGTTCTTTTCAATTTAGGTAAATTAAAATAATACAAATGAAAATTTTTTTATACTAAGCTGTCAATTTTACTAAACAAATGAGAAATATTACAATAGTAGTCTCTGATAGATTTAAAAAGAAGACTAATTTGCCACCTCAGTTTATCTTACATACTTGTGCTGCCCAATTATCTATAACCGCCAGTCTAAACATGAAATGCTTCTGTGGACTGGCAGTTGAAAAACACCGATAACACTGGTCCAGAGAAAAATATTTGACCATCTGACACTGGCACAGTTGATAACAAAGTGACACTTAAATAGTAATCTAGAGTTACTGTATGTAATTTATTAGTACAGTAATGCTAGATAAGCATATATAGTATAAGCTTAATAAATAAGCATAATTCATAGTCACATAATCCATGTAAAATTATCCATAGTTTTACTGGTCTATGATGAGAAGGTTGGAAAACACATATACAGTATATATATATAATAAAGGCTATTTATTTTTTTGTTTTTTTGAAAAGTCAAGAATTGATATTAAAGAAGTTTTAATTGAGGGAGGATTACATTGAAATTATTTTATTGTATTCTTTTTCATGAAATTGCATAAACATTACATAAATTTCATTCATATTTATGGACAATAACTTATATTTATGAAATATTAAATTTGTTTTTAGTAGCCTTCATTTTGAAGGACCAGTTTTTACAGTAGTTAACTACTGGGAAATGTAATTGACAATAGGTATGTTATTTTTGTTATTTGATCAATTCATTGTTTGTTACTTGAAAATGAAAATCACATCACTAAAAATTGGTATTTATGTGATTTTCAGCCAACTTTACTTTTGCTCCTCTATATTTTAAAACAGATCAAACTGTGCTTTATGTTCAATTATTAATATGGGCTTGCATTTATAATTTTTATATATGAAATATTTTTTATAATTTTAAAAAATTTTAATTTAATGAATATATTATTCCCTTACTTGAAGCAGCTTTTACAGAAGACTCCAAGGCAACATTTATAAGCTTTCCATTGATTTTAATTTTTTAGACAATTAAAATTGCCTTTAATAAAATAATTTGTTCTAATTTTTATTAAAAAATTAAAGTTGAATTAATAATCATTTAAATAAACCAAAGTTTTACTTATCTCAATATCTTATTTTTTAAAGTACATAAAAATTATAATCATGAATACTTTTTATATTTATAAGTATACTGTACTTCCTATTTGCTATTGTAGCTGTATGCCATATGTCTGTTTTTATCTTTTTATTCTTTGTACATTTTTCCCATTCTTTGTTCTTTCTACCTTCTAGAACTTTCTAATCTTAATTTTTCCATAATAAGTTTCAAACACCTTTCACTCTTTTCTAGAAATTTCTTCAATTAAATTAAATGGCATTCTTCAGGTTAAACAAAAATGGAACATTTTTGTTTAACCTGAAGGCGGCCATTTAAAATAACCAAAAATGTTAGTTCTTTGATTTAATAAAAGAATGAAAGGTGTTTGAAACTTATAATAAAAAAATTCTAGTTTATTGCACATAGAATCTTCATTTTTCCTTCTTGGGGTGAGGGCCACTTCCTGGAATAACCAGTGTAATGAGTTAGAGGTTACCTGAAGGTATACAAGGTGAATAAAGGTTACTTTTGAGCTGGTGCTCAAAGAGAGAGGGCAAGTGTGTGAAATTGTCCAGTACTCTAGTATTTTGGTGAAGTGGTAACTTTGACCCAGGAATTTCAAAGGTTCCATCTCAAAGTTAATGGATTTGGTATCAACTTGACCAGTTGCAAGTTTCAAATAAGTGACCAACAGATTGGTTATAAAACAGATTGGTTCAAAACTCTCAGGAATTGAGAAAAAAAATGCTAATTTGGTTCAAGAAGTTCCACATGACCACTCACAACAAGGATTGAAAGACATTTGCATGACCTGGGTATCTTTGTTCTGTCCTATCCAATGTCTTTACTATTACTCTCACCCCTCTATCTTCATCTTTCCATATTAGTGTACGTTTAGTATTAAGGGTTAGATATAAGAATTTTATTTTTGTAATAATAATAATTGCTGATTTGCTGTCATTTCATTTATTAGTTTTGTAATTGTTTTGCCAATGATAGGGTTTAGGATGGTTATCCAGCAGTAACCCTAGAGTTGGCATACTTGATTGAACTTGTATATTTATTTAAGTGTGATTTAACTATAAATTAATTTTTCTTCCATCTACTGCATGTTTAATTTGTTGGGTGTTTATATCATTACATAGGATGTAATGATATAAAACTATGTAAGATATCATATCTCACATCTTACATAGTTCATATCTCTCACTATGTAAAGATTTTTCCTCAAATGTGTATGCTGTTTGTCAATATTCTGCTTTAAAATTGGTTTTAAAACACAATGATGTTGTTTATGATGAGTTCAATTATAATAAGTCCTTATCTTGCATGTCAGTATATGGTACAAGACAGTTTGCTGTTATA